TCGTTCAGCTCCATCGGCCACATCTCTGGGTGACACACCGCCGGTGAGACGAAATTCTCCTCCATCGCTGAGAATATATGAGACGCACCCCACGCCCCATACTCGAGTCCATTCATCATCTGCAGCAGGACACAGCCAACGCTCCATATATCACTGGATCCACTGAACACGGGGGTACGGTAGGCGGCGTAGCTGACATTGTTGCACGCGCTCGCCCAGTACACCTCCGGCGCCATCGTGCTGAAGTCGCCGAGCTGCTGGATTGGGGTGCCGAGGGGTTGCGCGAGACCGAGATCGCCAAGCACCACCTGCGGTAGCGGGTCACTGTCACTGCAGGCAGTTAGCGAGAAGGTGGACATCGTGGCGCCGCACTCCTCCGGCCCCCACATTCGCGAAAGAAGAATGTTCTCCGCCTTCACGTCGAGGTGACAGAGGGAACAGGCGGTGTGAAGGAAGTGCAGTGCGTAGCAGAGGCTCCGCGCCACATGACGCACCTCCTCTACGGAAAAATATTGGGTGATGACAGCATCATTACCGCCGCCAACACTGTTATTGTTGTTGTTGTTGTTGTAGTGACTGCTGCTACTGCCGCCGCCCGTCAGGGTGTCGGTGAACATGCCACACGTGGGAAATGAGCTGGAATTGCGCCTGCGCCGCGCCCGAATGCAGTCGCCTAGGGAGGAAGGGTAGAACTCAAGTGGGAGCAGCAGCGCATCGCGAGCGACGTCGTACATCACATCACCAACGAGACTTGAGACAAGGCGTGCTCCGCCTAACAACGTGCTCCGATCCTGCAACTGCGCCTCCAGTGGGCCACGTTCCACCGCATCCGTTGCACCGGCAGCTGCCTGTAGTTGCTCCTGCAGTGCCTTCACCTCCTGCTCCAGCGACTGGCGACGCTCCGTGACGCGGCGCAGGAATACCACCTCATCGAGTGACCACGCTGCCTGGAGACGACTGACCTTGATGGCCACCACCGGACGCGGCTCCGTCCCACGCATGACGTTGTCATCGCTGCGACAGAAGCTTCTGCTTTTGTCCCTTGCGTTCTCCTTTGCCTCGCCTGTGTCGGTCCTGAGCACGGCAGGAACAACAAAGCCGTAGTTGCCGCGGCCAAGACACACGCCGAAGCTGCTCGTGCTCAGCGAGACAGAGCAGCTGCGGCGGAAGCGTGCCGCGCAATCCTCGTCGCCCAGAAGGAACTCAAACGGAGAGTCCCGCGCGTCTCGAAAGAGCGACAGCAGCTCTTGCGCCGTCGGCCCTTCCGTCCGCACCCACTTGCTGCTGTTGGGGTGGTCCTCCTCATCCTCCGACCGCGATGGCCAATCAAACGAGCGGCTCTGCTCTCCGTCGCCGCACACCGTCTCATTCCGCCGCCGCACGCCGCTGTCACTAAGCCGCGTCATATCGCTGCTATTTTTGTTGTCGGTGGACACCACACTTCTTTCGGCTCCCGCTTCGGCTGCTTCTAGTGGCTGTGG